AACACATCACAAGAGCTGCAAAGGTCCTTCGACAACCAACGTGTCACATTACTGGTAGGAACTTACATTTTTTAAATGTTTTTAAGTTATAAAATAAAAATTAAGAAACTCCAATAAAACCTACTTTACTTGTATAAATTTTATTTATCCACATTTTATGAAAAAATCACAGTAATTGAGTTACTGGTCAGGATCCTTGTCCATTCTACAGTTTGCATAAGAAAACTTGTCAGCACATAAAAATGTGATTTGTTTTTGGAAGCCATTCGATGTGAATAAAATGGATGGATCTGGCACCATCTCTATTGTATTTTCAGCATTAATATCTGTGCAGGTGGATCCTGACTTCAAAAATAGTATACTTAATTTAATATTGATTTAGAAAATTAATTTAATTTTGCTTCTCATGAGAACAAGTGAGAGTTAAATTCTTGGAAAATTTCCAAATATTTTGAATAGAGAAAAGCTTTTGGAAAGCTAATAAAATCCAACATATTTATCCAAATACCTAAAACATTTATGAATATTTGTGTAAGGTATTATTTATACCTATATAGTTATTTATTTTATACTTCAATTATTTATGATTATTTAATTGTTCAATTCGTGCCTTATTTCCAAAGAGGGCTTTTTTTTTTTTGCATTCAGAACAGCTAGAGCGTTATTTTTGTTTCTTTGCCTTTTTTTTTTTTTAACCATTTAAAAATTTTTCTTATAATTGGTACAAAATAATTGTACATGTTTATGGGGTACAGTGTCATGTTTCAATACACGTATGTATTATATCATGATCAAATCAAGATAGTTAACATATCCATTACCTTAACATTTATTATTTCTCAGTGATGATAACATTCAAGTTTGTCTTTTCTAGCTATCTTGAAATATACAGTGTTATTAGCTATATTATATATATATATTTTATATATATTATTAGTTATGCTAGTATGTAATAGAACACCAAAAATTATTCTATCTAACTGTTACTTTTTGCCCATTGACCAGCCTCTCCCCTTTCTTCCTCTGTATCTTTCTTGCTATTCTCAGCTTCTGGTAACCACTCTTCTAGTCTGTACTTCTCAGAGAAAACCTTTTTTTAGATTCCACATGTGAGCGAGATAGTATGTTGTCTTTTTGTGCCTGGCTAATTTCACTTAAAATAATGTTCTCCAAGTTCATCCCTGCTGCCAGAAATGACAGGATTTTATTCTTTTTTATACATAAATAGTACTCCATTGTGTATGTATATCATATTTTCTTTATCCATTCATCCACTGATGGACATTTAGGTTGATTCCATCTCCTGGCTATTGTGAATAGCTGCAATAAAGATGGGAGTACAGTTGTTTGAGTTCTTTGTATATTCTGGATATGAATCCCTTGTTGGACGCATAGTTTGCAAATATTTTCTCCCATTCTGTAAGATGTCTTTTTGCTCTGTTAATTATTTCTTTTGCTGTACAGAAGATTTTTAGTTTGATATGATCCCATTTGTTTATTTTTTCTTTTGTTGCCTATGCTTTTGGGGTCAGATTCATAACATCTTTGCCTAGTCCTATTTCCTGAAGTGTTTCCCCTATGTTTTCTTTTAGGAGTTTTATAGTTTCAAGTCTTATATGTAAGTCTTTAATCCATTTTGAGTTGATTTTGGGATGGTGAGAGGTACGGATCTAGTTTCATTCTTCTACTTATGGATGTCCAGTTTTCCCAGCACCATTTATTGAAGAGGCAGTCTCTTCCCCAATGTATGTTTTTGTTGCCTTTGTCAAAGGTCAGTTGGCTGTAAGTCTGTGGTTTGATTTCTGGGTTCTTTATTCTGTTCCATGGGACTGAGTGTTTGTTTTTATGCCAGTATCATGCTGCATAGGTAACTATAGCTTTGTAGTATAGTATGAAGTCCAGCTTTCAGTAAGAAAACAAGTAACCCAATTTAAAAATGGGCAAAGGAGCTGAACAGACATTACTCATATGAAGGTGTACAGATGGCCAACAGACATATTTGTGGAGTACAGATTTGAATATCAATACCTCTGTACAGTATGTGGTGATCAAATCAGGTAGTATATTCATGTTTACAAAATGTGATCAATCTTTGTGACCCTTAACCAATTTTTTGCTAACCCGTCCCCTTCCTCTTTCCCACCACTAATAACCACAGCTCTGTTCTCTCTCTCTTTTTTTTTTTTTTGAAAGTTCAACATATTATTGTGATTGTTGTTTCTATCTTTTCTTTCTTTCTTTCTTTCTTTTTTAAACTACCACTTATGAGTGAGGACATGTGGTATTTCTCTTTCTGTGCCTGGCTTATTTCACTTAACATAATTTTTTCTAAGTTCATCCATGTTGCTATGAATGGCAGAATTTCTTTCCTTTTTATGGCAGAGTAATAGCCTATGTAGTATATGTACTACATTTTTCTTATCCAGTTATCTATCAATGGACATTTAGGTTGGTTTCTTGCCCAGTCCAATGTCATGTAGCATTTCCCCTGTGTTTCCCCCTAGTAATTTCATAGTTTTGTGTCTTAAATTTAAGTCTTTAATCCATTTTGAGTTGATTTTTGTATATGATGTGAGATAAGGGTGTAGTTTTGATCTTCTACATGTAGATATCTAGTTTTGTCCAGCACCATTTATTGAAGAGACTGTTCTTTCCCCAATGAGTATTCTTGTCACCTCTGTTGAAAGTCCATTAGCTAAAAATGTGTGGTTTTAAATAAAAATCTTCGGTATGTGTTTATTTTATATTTAATAAAAAAAAGCATAACTGAATTCTTACTCCATTAAGAGAATGTCCCCCCACCACCTCCATGGCCAGGTTTTCATATACTGTAGACAGATTTCTAATATAAATCTAGCTTCCTATTTTACAATAATAGGCAAATTCAGCTTTGCTAACAATAGAAATATTCTTTTTTCCATTACATTATAAAGTTGACATTAATCTTGTGTCACTCTGCTAAGTATCATTATTTGTTAGTACAATCATTATAATGACCAGAGAAAGGCTCCATGTGTCACCAAGTACTTGTCATCCCAAATACTCTCTAGTCCTAATTTATTTTCTTCTCTAAATGGATTAGGATTTCTTTGAAGGAAGAAAAACAAACAATATTTTTCAAATTAATTGTTTTAAATTTAGTTTTTTTAAATTTATCGCTCTTTTGAGAGGCCTGTATGTCTGGATGTGGATGAAAGAAATAAGGAAAGGTCTGTTCCATGGTTTTTCTCCTAAATTCTATGCTGACAGTTCCTGTTTGTGGAGAAATTTTTACTATGTAATTGCTATTAGGTTCAAATTAGTGAGAATTCTACAAGAGGAGTAAGAAATGTGGCACTTCTGGACTTTTCTCAGGCTAATGTTATTAATAAAAACAATATTCTCAAGTATTAAAAAAAGTGTGGTTTTATTTTGTGCTTGCTAGTCTGTTCCATTGATCTATGTGTCTGTTTTTATGCCAGTACCATGCTGTTTTGATTACTATATCTTTGTAGTATGTTTTGAAGTCAGGTAGTGTGGTGCCTCCAGATTTATTCTTTTTACTCAAATTGCTTTGACTATTCTAGGACTTTTGTGGTTTCATACAAATTTTAGGATTTTTTTTCCTGTTTCTGTGAAGAATGTCATTGGTAGCTTGAAAGGGATTGCATTGAATCTATGGATTGTTTTGGTTAGTATCAACATTTTAACAATATTAACTTTTTCAATCCATAAATATAGGATATCTTTCCATTATTAATGTCTTCTTCAGTTTCTTTCATCAAATTTTTATAGTTTTCATGTAGAGATTTTTTTCACCTCCTTGGTTAAATTTATTCCTATTTTTTGTTTGTTTGTTTTTGTAGCTATTATAGATGGGATTACTCTTTTGATTTCATTTTCAGCTAGTTCAGTGTTGGCATACAGAAATGCTACTAATTTTTGTATGTTGAATTTGTATTCTGAAACTTTACTGAGTTTATTAGTTCTAACAGTTTTTGGGTGGTGACTCCCTATAGCAACTTAGGGTAGCACATGGTGAGAGTCACAAGAGAGTCACAAGAGCTGTCTCATGTGCTCCTTATAAAGCCACCAGCCCACACCCATTTTAAATCATTACTCCATGAATGGATTAATCCATTTAGGAGAGAACAGTCCTCAATATCCATTCAGCTTTTAAAGGCCCCAACTTTCAGATATCATAATTGAATTTCCCACCTTCTTAGCACTGTTACAGTAGGGATCAGGTTTCCAAAACATGAACTTTTGGAGAACACATTTGACCCATACCAACTACTGAGCAAAATAGTAGAGTTGCAGGATGCAAAACCAAAGTATTAAAATCATTCACATATCCACGCACTAACAATAACCTTTCCCAAAAGGAAATTATGAAAATCCCATTTACAATAGAATCAAAAGGAATAAAATACTTAGAAATAAACTTAACAGGCAAGTGAAATAATTGTACTCTGAAAACTGTAAAAAATTAATGGAATCATTAAAGCAGATAAAAATCTGTGAGAAATCATTCAGATTTATTGATTGGAAAAGTTAATATTGTTAAAATATCCATTCTGCCCAGAGTCATCTACAGATTCAATGTAATCACTATAAAAATCCTAATGGTATTTTTTACAGAAATAGAAAAAATGCTAAAATTTATAAAAAACCATGAAAGGCACTGGATAAACAAGAAGAGCAGAGCTGGAGATACCACATTTTTTTCTTATTTCAAAACTAATTCCAGAGCTACAGTAATCAAAACAGTCTGGTGCTGGCACCTGGTAGCTTTGTATAAAACAATGGAACAGAATAGGGAGCCCAGAAATCTATCTGATCTTTGAGAAAAATGCCAAGAAAACATAACGTGCAAATATTACTTTGATGCATGACATTGAGGAGACTAGAAATCTACACGCAAAAAAATAAAAGTGGACTCTTATCTCACACCACAGACAATTATATTTTTGGTTCATTTTGCTGCTACTGACTGTATGTCCCTCCTTGCCCTAGTGTGAAAGTGCATCTGCCCTAAACATAGAGGAGATCTGCGTGATGTGGGCCCTCCAGCCAGGCACAAGGGGAGAAGCTGGTGGAGTTCCTGGGATCAGCCTTCCAGGTTAGAACCATCCCTTACTGTACGACCTGCCTGTGCTCCTACCAGGACTTCACCACTGCTGCACAGTTCCTGGACCAACTCTTCAGTAGGTGAGCATCTGACTCCTCCAAGGCATGGTGGTGACTCTGCCACCTACTAGCTGTGTAATGTCACTGCAGTTCTCCAAGCCTCTGTTTGTTCCTCTGAAAAGTGGAAAAAGATGATCGTCAGGGTTTTTGTGGGGACTAAATGGGATAAGACATAACAAGTGAGTACCTAATGCCTGGAGTTGTGTATAGCGCACGCTGCACGTGCTGTAGTTCATGTTTATTACAATTCTCTCCCCCTCACTAAAGTAGCTTTCTGCCTCATGCCTCAATGGCCTGAGGCCTTTCTGTGTTTGGGAAAGCACATAGAATGCAATTCCAGTTTCGCATTTGTAAAGGAGGTTTGAAATTTTTTTTAGCTTGTCTTTTTCTTAGATATAGAAGAAAAATGGGTCCCTAGGCACTGGAAGAGAGGCCTAGGACCACCGAGATGTCTAGGAAGGTGCTGGTTGTGGTTTACTCATTCGACACGTCTGTAATGAACTTATTTTGCACAGTCACTTTTCTAAACATTTGGCATAATTTAGTGATCAAAGGAGACAGTCATTGGGTGTCAGTTTTAGTCAGGGAGTCAGATACTCCCAGTAGACATCATGAGTGGGTCATGTCCACAGCATGTCAGATGGGAAGCCCTCATGATCTCAGTGTGTATGTGCATTCTCCCATATTCTGACTAGGATAACAGACCCCAGGTCCAACTGAAAAAATACTGGAGTTTTGTTTCAGAAAGAAAGCTTTCTGTACTCCAAATTGGGGGGTGGGTGGGTAATATGTGGACTACGTCTGGGTAGAGACTGAAAGAACCATAAATCCCATACAACTTATAATTCCCATGAGGGTGCTGAGGTTTGGGTTTTTCCTTCAAGAGAAAAGGATTCTCTTAGTATTTTGAGTGTATCATCCCGTTTTCTTCTGGCCTGTAGAGTTTCTGTTGAGAAGTCTGCTGTTAGTCTGATAGGGGCTCCCTTATAGGTTACCTGACACTATTCTCTTGCTTCTTTTAAGATTCTCTGTCTTGGGGCTGGCCCGGTGGCGCACTGGATAAGTGCGCCGCTTGGGAAGCGCGGCGGCGCTCCCGCC